AGTTGGCTGTTGTTGCAGACACTAGTCTGTCATCTGAGCAGTTGACATTCTCACTTTGTATCTCTGATCAGGGCATGTCTACACAGCAGGGCTAAAGCCAAAAGAAGCTATGTGACTTGAGCTATGTCAATTCCATAGTTGAAGTTGAAATAGCTTATTTCAGCTTTTGGCGCTGTCTACACAACGTGAAGTCTGAAAGCAGTTGGCTGTTGTTGCAGACACTAGTCTGTCATCTGAGCAGTTGACATTCTCACTTTGTATCTCTGATCAGGGCATGTCTACACAGCAGGGCTAAAGCCAAAAGAAGCTATGTGACTTGAGCTATGTCAATTCCATAGTTGAAGTTGAAATAGCTTATTTCAGCTTTTGGCGCTGTCTACACAACGTGAAGTCTGAAAGCACTCTTCCCTTGACTTCCCTTACTTCTTGTACAATGAGGGTTACAGGAGTTGGAGTAAACAGTCCTCCAGCTCAACATTATTTCGACATTATGTTGAAATAACTGCTTGTGTGTAGACACAAGCCTATGTTATTTCAGAATCATCAATTATTCTGAAATAACACTGCTGTGTAAACATACCCCTGAGCCAAATGGGAGACTCGTGTACTCTGAATTTGGTTCTGAAGTTCCTATAGTAACTGAGATTTTGAAAAAAGAGTTTGTTTGACCCGTGCATGCACCTTTCATTACCTCGTGCCCTGCTGTGAAGCTATATAATGCTAAGCAAGTAAACTGCCCTCAGTACCTTCTCAACAGCCTTAGCCTGAGATGGTGCTTTAGTGTTTCTTCCTTGAGCATCCTAGATGGCATACCCAGTCTTTAGTTTAGTTTATTAGTTAGTAAGTTCAGTTTAGTTTGTTACTTTCAGGATTGTTTCTCCTCTCTCCTCTTAAAAGAGGCTCACCTTCCTCAATAGGGCATGCCTGATTCATCGGGGTTTAAATGCCGCCTCACTTGCTGGGAGGCCATCCCAATTTGTGATGGCCACTCCAAGTGTGTCTGCTGCCTTGAAAGTATCACAGAAGCATAATTCTCCCAGGAAGGGAAAATCTCTAGAGACCTCTAGAAGTCCCAGAACAATGAGCTCTGACTCTCTCATAGGGTGTCTGTTTCCAAAAGACCCCACTTTCCAAAGTACAGGACTTGGTAGCGATGGGGGACTTGAACTACTTAGACATATGTTGGTAAAATAATACAGCTGGGCACAGATTATCCCACAAGGTCTTAGAATGTATTAGAAATATTTTTTTTATCATAGAAGTGGAGAAAGCAACTAGGAAAGGGGCTGTTCTAGCTTAGATTCTGAGAACAAGGGTATGTCTACACTACCCCGCTAGTTCGAACTAGCGGGGTAATGTATGCATACCGCACTTGCTAATGAAGCCCGGGATTTGAATTTCCCGGGCTTCA